CCTGTTATTATATATCTTTCTGTTCACTGACTCGCTGTATCTACAGATATATTTACGATCTCTACACCTGAACAACAGTCATGAGATGCTTAATGGTAAGATATAAACTTATAGTGTATATTTTTAAATATGTTTTAATTAAATGAAATGGGGTTAAACATCCAGTTTTCTGCACGGACTGGGCTAATGAAGACAGACATATGTATTGTATTTTGCTAGCTATGGCATACTCTATATCGAATTCCGAAATCAATGTCCGTGAACGGCTGTCCTTGAAAGGCCGCACGTAATGCACTCCTGCCACCGCGGTTCCTAAATGATTTTAATGATTGTGAGATAGAAATTACATTGTGTATACTTAACTGCTAATTTATGAACCATATTACTGTAATGTTAACGTATTTTATTGAATATACCCCGACTCTGTGAATAGTCAGTGGTGCAGGGCGAAGGGCTTTGCACAGAACAGTCTGTAGTCATTCAGATTTGACGAAAAACTGAGGTATACGTTGGTATGCATATAAAAGAACAATTGCCAGAATACGAAATAAAGAGTAGGCCGGGCACGATTTCCTTCATAGCACACTGCATGGCATATACTGATATTAGCATGTGCACAACTTCTTTACACCGGTTGGTGCAGATACGTAGCGCGTAAAACCACATTTTATTTCATTTACTGATATCATCTTTATATCATCTCTTCATTTCCTAATAACACCTTCTTAATACCGGCTGGCACAGATAAATAGCCCAATTTCATTTGTAAAATCAGCCCTGAAAAGAACGATTGAACTAGTACCTTTGACATTTAACACTTTTTGCCAGACATGTATCCAATAATACTCCCCAATAAAGCAAACCTGTTTCAGAAAAAAACCCCAGAAACCCAAGGGATTGTGACTGACAAAACCTGTACTGGTGCCTGACAATTACTTTGACAAGTGCGTTATTTCCAGTTTTGTATTCAAGACATACTTGTATTGTAAAAACACAATTTGAGACCTATTTGTAATACACTGTGTGTCTATTTCAGATTACCGTCTGTATTGTCCTGTGCACAGTTACATTTGGAGAATCTAAAATAAGAAGCAGGAGACAAGTTGCTTATGGATACGGTGCTGTAGATCCCGCTGCTTATGGTGGGGCGGTGGTTGATCCAGCTCAGTATGCTACTTATGGTGCAGCAGCCAATCCAGCTGCTTATCAACCTGCTTACCAACCAGCTGCAGCTGCTTATGGCAATGCTGCTTATGCACAACCAGCTTATCAACAAGCAGCAGTTAACCCTGCATATGCTCAACCTGCCAGTCCATACGGTTACGCTGTCACTCCTTAGAGTACTAATTCTATCTGAAACACGACCCTTGTTGGACAGTCTGAAAATGTCCTCCAATATGCGATGGGTTGGGGGTATTATTTGAAAAGATTTTTGACGCAGCATAATGCATGTATGTGTATTTAAAAGATGGTGTATGATTTTTATTCTTGTAAATGTATTATATTAAATAAAAGTGAGTTAATAATGTTTAGACTTATTATATGAAATAAAAATATATACAAATTGTATGATGGCGGAAAACAGCCCTCTTCGCCTTCGCCATCTTAAATGCAAACACAAAAATCAAAATTAATATCCGTAGTTGAAGGATAACAACCAGTTTGTTATTTCAGTTTTATTCGCATACTAACCCAGAAAAAACTTATATTAAAAACCTATTGGTACTAGGTAATTGTTTAGGATTATATTAATTTCCCTATGGCTAAGGGTAGAGGTGGGGCATGGTGGCTCAGTGAGTAGTACGTTAGCTCGCTGACCTGCAGGTCCCGTGTTCGGCGCCTGCGTTGGCCGAAAAAATTTTATCGGGATTTTCCGGCGTTTGTCTGTGATGCAGAATAGAGGGTCTGGCGCGCACTTACAAGAATCCTTGACAGTTGACATTCGGTATAAGAGTAGACCGTAGTACCGTTGTCCAGGAAAGATTTCTGTCATAGAACACTGTCTGACATATGGCTCGTCTTCATTTCATTACAACGGAGGATACTTAAAGTAAAGAGACGTCATACTCGTATGTGAAAACTCCGAGTTACTTAAATCGGTATTAAAAAACCCGTATAGAAATGTAAAAAAATCATGAATATCTAACAAAACTTGCAACAGTGAGAAATTCAAAAGCGAATTTGATTAGATACAGTTAACGTTCTAGGAGTTGTAGCAAATTCCTAAGTTTCTAGAATGTTTTTTTGTGATTTTCTGAATACTTTATGGAACCAACATCAATGTCAATTGTTATATTTTTTGACGTTTTTGTACCGTAATCATGGGCGACGCCGTTACCGCTTTTCATGTGACACGTTGACATCATTAGTGGTCTAACGTATCTTCAAAGCGCATTTCTGATTTTGATATGGACGCATAGGCCGTAACATAAATCAGATTTTTATGATAAAGACAGTCCCCAGGCTATTCTACTAATGAGACCACTCTCGGTCTACAACCCTCAAGACTAGAGGGGAGATGAAAGTGTGTTTTACCAATCCCCACCCTCACGACAAGGGGCGGGGGGGGGGGGAATGAAAGTATGTTTAATCACAATTGAGCAAATTCGTGGATGTTTATGATTACATTGTCTGTAAGAAATGGTTACGACAGTGTCGAACATATTATACAAATTGCCGGATGCCCCTAGGTCTTGAGTCCCTAGGCTTCAGCCTGTCAGGCATGTAAGGTAAATCGTGAGTTCCTCGGCTTCAGCCTGCCAGGCATTGAGGTAAATCGTGTGTCCCGCGGCTTCAGCCGGCCATTTCTATAGGTAAATCGTGAGTTCCTGGGCTTCAGCCTACCAAGGCTGTAGGTATATCAGGCACTGACCATAGCTAAATAATATTCACGAAAAATCCTTGACAAAACGTTTTGCCCACCACAGGCTGTATATGGTGAGGGCGAGTGAGAATAGACCACAGCAAAAACATTATTAGTAAAAAGCCATAGCAATACCTTCATTTGGTAAGGGGGAATGGGAATAAACAATAGCTAAATAATAATATTCACGAAACATCATTGACAAATCGGTTTCCCAGTCACGTTCTATGCATGGTAAGGACGAATAATAATAGCCCATAACAACATTATTATTCATAAAAAGCCGTAATAATACCTTCACGTGGTTAGTGAGTGTGTGTGTGTGTGTGGGGGGGGGGGCGAGGGTAGACAGCAGCTAAATAATATTCTCGGAAAACCTTGGCAGATCGACATGACAATCAAGGGCTGTACATGATGAGGGCGAGTGAAAATAGACTACGAAAAATAATAGCTCTAGGAAAATTCGTCCCTGAACAATTCGCCCGGAGACAACTCGTCCCAAGGACAATTCGTCCCCACAGGAATATTCGCCCCCAAGGGCTATTCGTCCCCGGACAATTCGTCGTTTATGACAATTCATCCCCTTTTGTTAAAAGGTATACAACCATATAAGTTTGCGGACAGTTAGACAGACGAGAAGAGAAGGAAAGAGACAGAGAGACGAGGGGAAGAGAGCAGCGGAATGGTTGTAATATGCGCTTTGTTAATGTTTCCTGGTGTAGTTTGTTTCCTGTTTTATATTCTTGTTCGGCTTGTTCCTGATGTAAATAAATAATATATTTACTAAATTGATCTCTGTTATCACTAAAATAGTTTTACACTACCAATACGTTTTCACAGACAGCAAACAGGTGACAAGCTGACGTCGCTAACAGTCATAACAGTCAGAATAAAGTAATTTAAGTAAAGTGTTCAATATGTTCATTTTTTATTGTCTATTTGTGAACTAGTATATAAAGAACGTTCAGCCCATTATCAAATGACTTCATCGTGCATCTTCTGTTTAGCTAGATGATATTGTTTTTATGCATGAGTTTTACACGTGGCTATGGTTTATCACATCCTCAACATGCACAGTCCTTGATTGTTAGGTCGGTTTGTCAGGGTGTTCGTGACACATAATAAGCAGTAACGTCGTTGCCCATGATAACGGTAGACAAACGTCAAAAAATATAACAATTAACATTGATGTTGGTTCCATAAAGTATTCAGAAAATCAATAAATGATTGTTTTATATGAGGATATAGAACTGAATGAATTGGTTAAACAATAAAGACAGTGGTTTTGGTCTACTGTCTTCATCATGTCACAATACGGCATAGTCTACCAAGTAACTTATGTAATTGCGAATAATATATGAACACGTATATCCCTAATTCGTCTTTGTTATTGTATTGTTTGACTACAAAAAAGATAAGCATTCTAGAAACTGCAAAAATTAGGAATTTGCAACAACCCCCAAAGTTTTAACTGTATCTAATCAAATTCGCTTTTGAATTTCCCATTGTTGTCGGTTTTGTTGGAAATTCATGATGTTTTCCATTTCTAGACGGGTTTTCAATACCGATTTAAGTAACTCACATAAGAGCAGGACGTCTCTTTATTTCATGTATCCTCCGTTGTCATGAAATGAAATGGGATTGAACGTGCTGCTGTTCTTCTCCGAATGAAGACGGGCATATGTCATACATGAGGGAAATTTTTCCCGGACCACGGCACTACGGTCTACTCTTATGTCAAATTTTAACAGACATGGATTCTTGTAACCGCGCCAAAATATCCCGATGAAACTTTCACGCCCAACGCAGGGATCGAACACGGGACCTCTAGGCCAGAGAGCCACCATGCCCCGCCCACCCCCTGTGTAATGAAATCCGGGGTTACTAACTATAGAAACATTAATATAATCTTAAACTATTGGCTAGTATGTATTGCATGTAAAACATTGAGTTGGGATAAGTTTTCATTGATACAGATAGGTTTTCAATATTATAATTTTTTTCCGGGTTAATATGCGAAAGAAACTAATATAACAAACTGCTTGTTATCTCTCAAATACGGATATTGATTTTGATTTTGTGTGGTTTGTATTTTAGAATGTGACGGCGAAGAAACAAAAATGACTGTTTCCCTCCATTATACAATTTGTATATATTTTATTCCATATAATATAAGCATTATTAACACACTTATATTTAATATATTTACAATATACCATCATTTAAATACACATACGTGCTTTATTCTGCTTCATAAAGCTTTTCAAATAACACCTAGAACCCAACGCATATTAAGGGGGATTTTCGGATGCCACAGACAGTCCAACAAGGGCCCTGATTAAGATAGAATTGGTAATCTAAGGAGTGACAGCGTAACCGTATGGACTCGCAGGTTGAGCATATGCAGGGTTAACTGCTGCCTGTTGGTAAGCTGGTTGTGGATAAGCAGCATTGCCATAAGCAGCTGGAGCTGCAACTTGTTGGTAAGCAGGTTGATAGGCAGCTGGATTAGCTGCTGCACCATACGTAGCATACTGAGCTGGATCAACCACGGCCCCGCCATAGGCACTGTATTGAGCTGGATCAACCGCCGCCCCACCATAAGCAGCGGGATCTACAGCACCGTATCCAAAAGCAGCTTGTCTCTTGCTTCTTATTTTAGATTCTCCAAATGTAACTGTGCACAGGGCAATACAGACGGTAATCTGAAATAGATACACAATATATTACAAATAGGTCTCAAACCAATGTATACCGCGGTTTTTCGTTCAATCTGCATGACTACAGAATGTGCTTTACAAGGCCCTCCACCCTGCACCACTGAAAATCCCCGCGGAACACGAGGATTTCACGCCATCGTAGCTGCTAGTTAGTTAGCCAGCGTCCTACTCACAGAGTCAATGTATGCCCGATAAAATACGTTAATATTACAATAATATGGTTCATAACATGACAGTTAAACATACATTATGCAAGAGCTAAATCTGTCTATTAGACATTAATTAACCTATCCAGACCATAATCAACTCTAGATGGTTATGCTAGCCTGCGATCTTTAGTATCTTTAAGTATACACAATATAATTAAGTTCCCATCTTACCCAGTAAATAATAAAGGAGTCACAGTGGCTCAGCGAGTAACAGGTTGGCTCGTTAGTCTAGAGGTCTCGGGTTCGCCTCCGGATGTTGCCGAGTAATTTCATCGGGATTTTCCAGTGTGGTTTCCTGTTGCTAGTGGTGCAGGGTGGAAGGCCTGACAAGAATAGCTGTCTAGTCGTTCGAATGGTACGAAAAACCGAGGTCCCATGTACACATTGGCGTGCACGCAAAAGAAGCCTTAACAGTTGAATTTCGATATAAGAGTAGGTCGTAGCGCCACTGTCCGTGCAACATTTGCCCCGTATCAAAATGCATGACGTGTATGCCCGTCTTCATTAGCCCAGTTGTCACAGAAAAATAGGACGTTTAACCCCATTTCATTTCATTAATAATATTTTACTATACACATTATAAGTTTATATCTTACCATTAAGCATCTCATGATTGTTGTTTAGGTGGAGAGATCGTAAATATATCTGTAGATACAGCGAGTCAGTGAACAGAAAGATATACAATAACAGGTGTCATATAGACTTATATAGACTAAATATTAAAAATATAAATCTTTACCTATTGTCACAGCCACACGGCTTATACATCATCCATTAAAAATATACTATTCCTTACCTATTGTCACAGCCACACGACTTATACATCATCCATTATAAATATACAACTCTTTACGTATTGTTACAGCAGCTACGCGACCGTATAAACCTCACATCCATATGCATTCTATATATTTGCATATTCTCGTTACAAATATAACATTCATTACCCATTGTCGCAACCACGCGACTTCATTATGTCAACATTCATATCCATTTTATTTATTTGCATATACTCTTTTTTTTTATCACATTTTAATTTTAGTTTGACTGTGGACAACGATGTGTTTTTAAAAGCCTGAATCACGCACTATTGGGTGAACATAAATTGCAGGGGGTGCAGGAGTCTGGTAATAATGAGTAACAATACTCATGCGACACACTGACTTCTGCGCCACTTTTGCTAACATGTTGGCGTCAAATAAAAAAATAATACACTTTTTATTGTTGTGGGGTGTACGCGTAAATGTGGAAAATGTTATTTACGTGTTTGGACACTTGTGTACATGTCAAATGCAAGTCCAAGATATAAGCTATTTTTGCCCAGGAATAGAGCTGTATTTTTGCGCCACAATTTCTCGGTCGTACACACCCGATAATTTAAACAAAGGTCTGATTACTTACATGTAAAGGACTATTGTGGAATGGCGTCAAAACGGCGGCAGTGCTTTTTATGTTAGTTTGTTCAACGTTATTTCAAGTAATATAGGAGAAGGAAAATATGCTGTGCGGAAGGGGAGGGGTCAGTCTCAGCGCCCCCACCCCTTCTCTCTCGACACGCGCCTGTTAAACGTATGACGTAAATCAAGTAATTCAATTTGTATGAATTGGGTTTTGTGACGGTAACAATAAGTATACTAATGTCTAAACACAACAACCACAATATACATATAGACTCGAGTAGAAAAAGGGGGGGGGGGAATAGTTTATTGTGAGAAATAGTATAAATTAGATGTAGAAAACAAAATTCCAAGATTGAGAGAGACAGAGAGAGAAATGGGTTTTAACGTCCATGTCATTTCCGGACTAACCCATGGTTCAGTTTTACTTCAATAATTATTTTGCGCGTAGCGGTCTTTAGCAGTAGCGTGAAAATGGAGGACACGGAGGAAACCCACGACGTTTGACAGCGAAGATTGTGAGATTGTGAATTATCGGTGGATCAAAAATGATTATTATTATTTATAAGCGGGATGAAATAGAATAAAATAGGATTTAATCGCCTTCGTTTGCGCACCATGAATACGGTCGTTTGCGTTGCCGTATGCTATTAGGTACATCATTACATCAACAGCACCGTTTAGGTGAACGCCGGGTATTTGCCAGATCGTCCGCCCTGCACCAATGACAAGGTCAAACCACGCTGCAAAATCCCGACCAACACCGGGATCAAACTTCAGGTCATCACGATAAGATTACTGTTTATTACCAAGTGTTGTTTAGACTAAGATTCTCTAATGTTTGTCAAACTTTATTTATTTTCTTAATTAAGACCAGTCGAAAGGTCACTGAGCAATAAACAACCAACACACGTCTGAGTCCTTACATTGCGGGTACTATTACTAAATGGTAGACTGAGCTACCGCATTTCGTGGTTTCTCTCCTAAATTTGTACGTGAGAAGGAAACGGGGCGGGGTCGCCTGCCTAACCTTGTGGGGTCTATCCGGTTTCTTCCCACTGCTAAAGACCCTACCATGTAAATTCTCTAAGATATTGCTGTAAACTCTATAATGGACTTTATGCATAAATGGATTGTCGGGTGATAATTCCGTTAAAGATGCATAATGTAAGAGCTAAATCTACTTTGTGCCGATCTTTCTTCTGACTTCAAATGTTACATACATTATTAATTGACATTTATTCACATGACAAGGTCAAAATCAAGTCTCTAGATCATCGGATGGCTGAGATTTTGATTATATTTATACAATATCTGCTATATAAACGTTAAAATGGACAATCGAGACTACAAACATTTCATAACTTCGCTCAGAATAAAGTAATTTGTCTAAATGTTGGATATGGTCATGGGGTTTAACGTCCATTCGACACAAACTATGTCATTTCGGGACTAACATATGGTTCAATTTTACTTCAATAATTCGCTTGCGCGTAGGGGTCTTTAGCTGTGGAAGAAAATCTGCGAACCCGGAGAAAACCCACAAGGTTTGACAGATGACCCACTTCCTTGTCACGTTCAAGCAAGGAATCGAATCCACACCACTGAATAACAGAATTTATGATCTAACCATTCGACCACCCAACCCACCAAATCACTTTTTAAGCATACTCTTCAAAAAAAGTAGGGGATATTGAAATGCAAATACCTATGCAGGTTCCGATATGATACATGCTTTGAGAGTATGTTCACAGATGAAGAACTTGTCTGCCCAACAGAACCACTGAGCTGCACATGCGACACGCAATAGCGCCATACACGTGGGAGGGGTTCATTGTCAAATTTGACACTTCAAGGAGGAGTTGATGAAAACTGCCGCGTGCTGGTTTTTCTATCCATGTTTGCTTTCCTATCGGTTCTTGCATAAAATTTAGCGCATCTTTGCTTTAGTGTGTTACGTTTAATTTGATGGGGAGACGTGTTCGTCAACGTCAACGGACAACACTGCAAGAATTGACCGTGGCCCTGCAAGAGGAGTGGGTCAGATTGCCCCAAATCGTGATTGGACGGTTGATTAGTAGCATGCCACGACGAATTGCTGAATGTCTGAGGATTGGTGGAGCAACTACTCATTTTAAGACAAAAATCAAAAACATCCATTTTCACTTTTGACGGTGTATCTCTTTGCGAGTGAAATGGGGCCGTCAGATAAGTCGCCCATATGAACTGTTTATGTTCATGTGTAGGCAATTGGCATGTTATTAACATACACTGGCTACCTCTATTAAAAACAGCAGTGCATTCCCGCAGTTTTGTATTGTTTCTGAATATCCCCTACTTTTTTTGAAGAGTATTTAATCTTTATATATAATCTTCATATAATTTTCGAATGCGGAAGTATCGTTTCGTTTGAAGCATCACTACCAAGAAGCCGAACATCAAATAATCGGACGGTTTTTCGTTAAAATATTTTTTTCAATATATTTGCGAGTTTGACAATATCTCGAATATGGAAGAATTTGCCTATAAATCCCAATTTACTAAACTCGAGCATTGCCCAATCGTGTGTTTTATGTTCATTAACAAAATCTTGTCAAGGTATCCTGCTTTGGTAAGCACGCCATCTTCAAATTGTAAATAATACTGAGACGGATTTGCGGAATACGTCATCAAATTATATATGAATATATACCCTACTACAATACCGCCACAGCGTATTTAAAATTTTGTATAAATTATATATGATAATATACACTATTACAATATTCTATAATGAATACCCGGTGCACACTTTAAACACGGTCAGACGCTGGGCACGCAGCGCGACAATTAAGTTTCAGTGGGTCCTCAGATACCCGTGGGCCCTATGCCTATTGATATATCCGGCCAGGAGTGCTGGTGGTAAAATAGCTTCTCAGCAAAACGTTTTATTTCGACTATGTTAGCCCTCAGCTTAAATTTAAGTTGTGTTAATCATGATCTTAATTTGCCTTTGGTAGATACCAGAAATCATGGCATTGGAGATCTCATGCTGCTTAATTCTTGACCGCTATGGTTAGTTGCACAGACGAGAGGTCAGGTGAATCGATCTTATTTTGTCCCGTACGTGAACAATATAAGCCGAAATGGCAATCGGTGATAAACTGGGTTAGGGTTAAGACAGATCTTAGAACATGGGCGTGACCATTGGATTTTTGCATTAACGACTCGGGTGTTGAGGGGCCATTAACAGTCCTCTTTGTATTATTGGACTACCAACAGTCCACAATCCTGAAATCATAACTCTGTTAGTTTCGATTTCTTCTTTTTACAGTTCTGGTTTGCTACAGTATGATACTGATTAGTGTAGTCCGGCGGGTTTTACAATTGGTAACGGAATCTCATTCAAGGGACGTAACTTCTGTTCACATCGATTTACTTTTTCAACGGAAGTAACCCCTGTTCATACAACTTTACTTATATAAGATTTGTTTTGTAACTGCATTTGTAAAATGAAATGAAATGGGGTTTAACGTCCTACTGTTCTGCTCCTAGCCTGGGCTAATGAAGACGGACATATGCCATACAGTGTGCTATGAGGGAAATTTTGCCCGGGCAGCGGCGCTACGGCCTACTCTTACATCGAATTCCAACTGCCAAGGGATCTTTTACGTGCACGCCAATGTGTACACGGGACCTCGGGTTTTCGTCCCATCCGAACGACTAGACAGCTGTCCTTGTCAGGCCCTCCGTCCAATCTGAACGACAGACTCACTCTACCTGCAGAGAAGTGACTCTGACACAGTGAATAGCCGTATTCTCGGGGTGAAAATCTTGTCACCTTCGCTCCCGCTAAACCGGTCTACAAATCGGACTATCAATAATTGTGCAATCGATATGTCAACAAAGTTCTCAAAAAAATCTGCCAATTTAATAGTTCAAGCTCGAAATAGGCTATAAATCGATGACTTATTTCTTTATAGTGCGGAGCCATATTTGCGTAGATGTGAGTTGGATCCTGCGCATCTATTTAAAATTTGGCCAATCAGCGGTCTCGCTTGCGGGGTTGCGGTCAAAAATTCTGGGGTCAATTGCCAGGTCATAACATTTGTAAACAAAGCCATGCGAACGATTTACCTTGCAAATCGCTCGCGGTTGGGACGAACAGAGATCAAATGAACCCCAAAAACGTCCCATACGTGTAGAGAAGTGGTGTATGAGAGCCACAAAAGGTATTTTGATCACACTGACATAAAATGTGGCAGTCAGTCAGGTTTTTTCGACACTGATTAAGGATATTGGACCGGTCTATTTCACTAGAAAAATGCCTTAATATCAAGGGAGATTACAGAGAATGCCACAAGG